GAGTTTTTTTTGTTTTGTCTTTGTTTTTGTTTACAGTTTTAACATTTAGTGTTACGGGAAAAAAATATATTATTCTTGATCAATGAAAACAAACTTAATTTGGTATAAAAAAAGGCTTTTGTCACTACAAGAATATTGGGATTTAACGGCGTTTATTTAACGACGTTTAAAAAAATACCTCTGTTTTAAATATTTAACAACGTTTTTATAAACGTGGCATTTTTTATTTAATAATACGACACCGTTTTTATATTAGAAGTCGTTTTAAAAACGCCTTCGAATGTGGTTTTTATTTTTTATTTTTTTAACATATGAGAACATAAAGTAGCGTATTCACTCTCTCTGAGTCTCCCTCTTTCTGACTAAACCTTGATTTCACTCTCTCTCTCTCTCTCTCTCTCTCTCCTCTTCAAACTCCTTCGTATTTGTAGAACCGCAGCTGAACCCCTTTGTATTTGCAGATCGATTAATGTATCCGTAGATCGCTTCAAGTATTATTCACTCTCAGTCTTGCTCTCTCTCCCTCTAATCCCTTGATTTCACTCTCTCTCGCTTCAAACCCCTTCGTTTCAGAGACAACCCTTAATATTTGTAGAATCGTACCTGAACCCCTTCGTATTTGCAGATCGATTCAAGTATTCATAGATCGATTCAAGCCTCTTCTCTAGTTCGTGTCGCGTTCGCAGCTCTTTCTTCATAGTAAGTGTTGATCAGTCTCATCTCTATCTTCTTACTAATGGAATCATTCGATTCAAGTATGCTAGGTTTCATCTACTTTATCATTCTTAGATCAGATTGAAGATCTATAGATTCGATTCAAGTATGGTAGGTTTCGATTGAAGATCTATTGATCAATTGAAGATCATAATGTGTGTTGTAGATGTTAAAATTGAACACAAAATATATACATACATACTTATATATGAATAGATTGACAATTTTTTTAAAAATAGATCTCAATAAGAAACTCTGTAACCTTTTATATATTCATATGGATTATATGTTGAATTATGTATCATATGAGTACGGCCAAGTTCAAAAACTATCTATGTTTTCTTAAAACAACGGATTGGAATTCACTGAAGTGATGGTTTCACTTAATAGTTTATTAAATTTGATTATTTCAGCCGTTTGATGTTTTATTAGAGTGCTTGTCTTCAACTAATAGATTTGTTTGATGATGAGAAATTTGTGGCAATTTGTGATGCTGCATCATAGCCCTTTTAAGACTTCATTCATGAAGAAAAATAGAAGAAATTTTGAACCATTTGAGTGAGTTTCTTTTATCTTTTATGCATAATAAGTTGTTGGAAACTTAAGACTTTACCATCCTAAGAATATGAAGGTGTAGACACCCCATTAAACGTGCATACCCTGTATATAAACAAGTTTTGTTCTGCCTGGTCATATATGCCGAGACTGGAAGCAGTGAAGACTCCAAGAATGTATATTCATCTAAACTTCTCTATATGCATACCTTGTATTTTTTTTAATTTTTTTTTATAGTGTAGTCGAAGTAAAAAAAGAATATAAAGAGGCCAGTTATTTTTATTTTTGTATTTGCAATTATGCTATTTAGCTCTAATTTGTTCAAAATTATCCTTTAAATCTACACAAAACATAACGTGTTCTGTTTCTGATTTTGCTAAGCAAGTTCAATCTTTAACAATTGTATTCAAAAATTTTAAGACCTGTAACAATGTTTCATATATGCTAGTATTTAATTAATTACTTTTATGGTTACAGTTGCTTGAGAAGATATACAAGACTTTGGATGAATCTACCAAAGTCCTAATATTTAAAGTTCCATTCCCCATGTTTGCATACCCTATATATTTGGTGAGAATCTGTCTATCTAGTTGTTTATGACACTAGCCTCTTTGTGTTTTTGTTTTCTCTTTTCTGTTCTCATGTTTCGGATAAACTGGTTTGGCGAATTGTTTCACAAAAATTCTCAGAAACTAGTTTCGCTAAAAAATGAAAATGATGAGTATTTTCAAACTTTCCATTATTTCTTCCAAAAACAAGAAAAACAAGAACCGAAAACAAAAACACAACCAAACAGGATTTCTTAGGAGCTAGTTTTGCTGACTTGATGGTGTTCCCTACATGGTAAGTCAAACACATTCCATTCTCAAAGTGTTCCTAGAATTTCATTTGATAAAAAGAACAAATTTCAAATGTTCCAAATACTTCAATTCCATTTGATTCAATCTTGTTGCACATTTATCACATATTGATTGCATTTGAAACAGTGCATTTACAGAATTGTTGTTGTCGTCGTCGTCGTCGTCTCTACGTCTGCTCGAGTTGAATTTCAAATCCTCTACTTTTGAAAATATATATGTACATATTTTATCATGGTAGCTAGTCATGGATTGACATTGCCACATTGACTTTTTCTCTTTTTCCATTGACGATGGTGACATGTAGAGCTATAGTCATACCAGAGAAAAATGATGGAAGTTTGAGTAACTCAATTGTTATCATGCATATATATATATATATATATATACGCGTACACAATAACCTCTGCATAACAAGTCTTTGGCAATGATATAGGTTCTCTTGGCTTTTTGACATTTTGGAATTGTGTATTTTTGACAGATTCATACATAACATCCTATAGGAAAACTTTATGCATACAAAAAATTCCATAAAAATGATGTAACAATATCATCATATGGTGCTTGTTTTGAAATACAAATCTATTGGGAAAATAATGTGAAGGAAAACTTTTTCAAGGCTACTCTCTCCATGTTGTTCACACACAGACACAGACACACACACACACATATACATATTGGTGCTCTGTGCTGGCTGTTGTCTTGGCCAAACCTTCAAGAAATAGAAATCTTTACATGTAAACAAATCTCTCTGGTTACAATCTAGATGGGTGCTTCTGAATCAGTCCCTCAAAAATCCATTCATGATTTCTCAGTCAAGGTCTCTCTCTCATTCTTTATTTGTTTTACATACATGTTTATATGTGTTTGTTCAAATTGTTTTGTTTGGATTTTGAGAAAGGGACTGAAGTTTACAACAAATACAAAAAAAAAGGTATGGAATCTTTCAATCACTCCATTTTTTGGGGGGCTTAATTTTCCCAAGTTTTAAAGTTTGTAAAAAAAAAAAAAAAAAAAAAAAAAAAAAAAAAAAAAGTATGGAATCTTTCAATCACTCTATTTTTGGGGGGGCTTTTGCTTTTTGTCTCTAAAAGTATATAATAACCGGAATAATCTCTTTATATTTGTGTAAAATTTTCAGTTAACTATGAAATACACTCATAAAGTTTTAAGTTTTTACTTCAATTTTACATTTTCACTCATCTTTTATGTTTTCATCTGTGTTTGGTGGTATATGCCCCTGTATAAAACCCCATAGGTGTTAAAATATTCATATACATGAGTGTGCAAATTTTTTTGATTGCATATACATCAGTATATATATATATTTAAATTACATATACATTCATCCATAAATTTAAAATGCAAATTTCAGTTTGCCCCCATGGTTCAACTCAAGCTTCATGAACTTTAATGGCCAACAATAAAACCAATAAATTTAAAATGCAAATTTCAGTTTGCCATTGGTCTTGTCAAATTAGCAGGAAAAAATAGTATAGGAATTATTAAGCAGAAAAAATAAGCAGAAAACATAATTATGTGGTTTACCTTCTTTACCCACCAAATTGACTGTACTACCAAAATACCCAAACAAAATAATACTACCTACAAACCACAACTTAATAGATATGATACCACGGCATAACCCTTTAACTTGCTTTTTTAATAGAAAATTTCCATTTGGAGTCGGTTTGCAATTTTGGCCTAAATACTCTACTCAAGCAGCACTACTCATTCTTCTTTAGAGAATCAACTCTATTACTGTCACAAGAAACATGCTCTCCCATGAGAGGAAAGCCCCTCAACCCTTGGGCGTATTAAAACCTTGGGCATGCTCAAATTCTTAACTCTAAGCCTCTTTTAGACCAAATTATTACTGCAAAGATTATGAAATTATTGCCGCAACAATACTACATAAAAGAAAAACCAACATCTAAAGATAGGAACTTGAGACAATTTCCAACAAGTTCACATAAAGAGAAAGGCCATGAATCAATTAAAGCAAAGAGGATTTGACAAAGGCATTGGACAATGCATGGATTTTAGAGTGTTGTGTCATTCATTGAGCTTCAGAAGAGCATTTTAATGTCTACTTGAAATGAACCAAAAAAAAAAAAAATCTATTGTTATAACTTTGTTATTAGATAGCTGGCACTTAAAGTAACAAAAAAAAAAAAAAACCTGATGTTATAACTTTGTTTTTAGATAGCTGACACTTAAAGTAACATTCAAGATCATAGATTTCTACTGCGCATTTATGTGTACAATAATGATGGTGCCATTCAATGGTTGTGCCCTTGATTTTCAAATATTTAAATAAATAATATAAAAGCCCAAAAAGAGAAAGCAAGATAAAAGAAAAAGAAATAGAAGGCTGGGAAATAGTTGTTAGTATTTCTAGCTTTACAACTTCTTTTGTTTCATTTTGTTTGTTACTTATTATTTTTTTAATTGGTTCAACTTACCTATTGATTTGAAATTGAAAATATGATTAAATACGTTAGATGTTACTTATGAAAGAAATTGTCTACATTGTTTGGTTTTATACATAGCAAGTAATTCCCCATGAGTAGAAACAAATGGAAGTGTATTGATTCTTTAATTAGAATGACATAGCTAGCGGTTTGTGGTTTACCTAATTACTGTTTTTGGTGAAATAAAAGGAGGGGGGTGTGCACTCTCATTCCATACCACTATATATATATATATATATTCTCTACAATTGTGAATTAGAGTGAAAGTCTTTTTAAAAAGTACCTAATTACCCATAAAAGCAATAAGTTGGTCATTTTCACTTATGGTTCTTTGGGGTTGACTTTTAATGACATTTGATCATGGTCAATTGCTCAGATTCTAAACTAGTGTCTAATTTGAGCAAGATGAGACATCTGGATCTAAGTTATAATAATTTTGACGAGGATGCCTTCAGGATTTTGGGTGCTCTCCCATCCCTTAAGTTTCTATCCTCAGTGTTCAATAGCATGGAAGGACCACTTTCTAACCAAGGTATGTGTATTTTTTATTTCTCAAATTCATGCTGCATAAGTTAATTTTTTTAGCTCCATTTAAGTGTTGAGAAGACTTAAAATAGTTGGAAAAATGAAGTCTTACAGCTAGCAATTTGTGCAAAATTGTAGTTCTTTGTCAAATATATCTTTCTGGAATCTATTACTGCCATCAATGGCATCATTGTCCTTAAATTTTTTTAACATTACATTTTCATTTGAAATTGAGCTACTAATTGAGGTGCCCATAGAATATAGTTCACAACATCAAATTATATTTATCTCTATTTTCTTTATCTCAATCTAATTAACGAGTCTCTTCACTTGGGTTACAAAATTGACTTATAATCTTAGCAATTTGAAGACTTAAAATAGTTGGAAAAATGAAGTCTTACAGCTAGCAATTTGTGCAAAATTATAGTTCTTTGTCAAATATATCTTCCTGGAATCTATTACTGCCATCAATGGCATCATTGTCCTTAAATTTTTTTAACATTACATTTTCACTTGAAATTGAGCTACTAATTGAGGTGCCCATAGAATATAGTTCACAACATCAAATTATATTTATCTCTATTTTCTTTATTTCAATCTAATTAACGAGTCTCTTCACTTAGGTTACAGAATTGACTTATAATCTTAGCAATTTGGAGGTCCTCCTCCTCAGAGGAAATCTGCTCAATGGAACACTACCAATGGAAGGCAAGAATTTTGTTATTTAAATTGTCTTAGGATCACCCTACAATCTTGATTGTATTTTGTTGAGTTCTCTTGGCTCTATTTTACCTTTATCATATGTTTTGGTAGGTTTGACATCCTTCCGCCATCTTCAGATCTTAGCTTTGAGTGAGAATAATTTCTTTGCAAGTATTCTTCATCCATAGGAGCATTATCTTCTCTGAAAGCTCTATCTCTGGCTTAAAATAATCTTAGTGGTTCTTTACCAATTCAAGGTAAAAATTCTATTCATTAAGGTTATCTATTATAAACTAAAAGGCCAACAAAGTAGAAATTCAAAGGCCAACAAAATTCTATTGCTTCCTTTCTGTTTTTATTTATTTATTTATTTGCTTCTTGCAAATAAATAAACTAGCATTGAAGAAAACTATGAACTAGCATCATCTTTATGTTTTCAAGAGTTAGCTGGTGTCTGATAAAATTGGAAGTTGAAAAATAAAAGTCGAGGAAAATTCTATTATACACTCCTTTAAAAAATGTGTATCATATGAACCCCTAATTATGTTATTTTATTCTTTAGTTATGTTATTTTTGTCTTTAGTTATGAACAATTTTCTTCACACACCAGGTTTTTCCCGTTTAAATCCACATATATGTGTTTCTCAGTGTTTTTATGTATATATTTTTGTTTGATGGGTTATTGAGAGTATGGTGTTTTGAATTGCTTTAGTTTATCAACTTTATGGGGAGATCCTAGAAGAGAATGGTATTGACTTGCCTGAAATGAAGATTTTGAGGGGGGAAATGGAGAAGCTTGGGATTGATAGAAATATCTGTAAACCAGGGCAGTACAACCACTTAAGTTGCCCAATGGTATGCTTTGTTTGTTCCAAAATTTGTTCCTAGAAGCTATATTGCGTTTGTTTTATCTGAAACCTATGTAATATATGCTGCTACACTTATGTAGTTGTGTTTATTTGATTGTTGGAATTGACAATCTTGTTGTATATTAGGAATTATTTAAGTAGTATTTAACCAATTAGTTAAAAGTACATTAAACATGGTGTGTTATATATTTGTTTATTAAAACTGAAGAGAAGTGGGTTAGATCATTCTTTTTTCTTCCAATATAAATGTTTATTTATGTTTTGCTTTTCTTTTTACTGTAGTGCAAAGGTGGGGATTCAGAGGAGAAGAGCTTATTCATTTTCATCACTGCAAATGGGTAAATTGTCCATATTTCTTTTATTTATTTATTTTTTTCTGTTTTCTTTCCTGACAGTTCGCTTGCTGTATCTGTCATGGGCATTTTATTGTGTTAAGAATTTAGCTTTGTGGACCTATTTTCAAGCTAAATGTGGCTGGAGAGGCAATACAAGGGTACCAAAGTGTTTTATATATGGTTTTGATTTTATGTAATTAGTCAATCAGGCATTTGATCTGATTTCAGAGTCCCTTTCAATTGTACCCATTTTGTTGCAGGCCTATGTAAATGGCAATTCAACGTCCGGAAGGATTGCTCATATACCGAAAGTTAAGCAGACTAGAGAAATCACCGAGAAAAGTTTGGATTTGGAACCAACTAGTAGTGAGGTAATACCTTTCAGCTTTGATCTACTTTTTTACTTATTTGAATAAATCTGATGTTTGTTTAGGTAGTAGTGGTTAGACATACGGCTAAGTAAGGATATGGGCACTTCTAAACATATGTAAAGGCCTTGTAACTGTGAGTTGTGAAGTCTTTAACTTAGTGCATTATGTTACATGGACACTTCTAAACATATGGCTGGAGTAAGGATATAGGCTGTGTGTCCGACATGTCCAGTCAAAACTGGGCCCAACAAGCATGTTTAGTTATGCAAATTTACTGTGTAATTAATTGATAGACCTCTCTTATTATGTTTCTTTGTGACATGATTGCTTTAGAGCAAGTGAAGTGCCATCTTGAAGAAAAGTCACCATTCCACCTTAGGAAATAAAACACGAATACTAAGAAATTGTTTTTTATTTTTTCATTTTCTGTTGCTTTTACAATATCTTACATAAAGTCAGTATTCTACCTTGAGAAATAAGAGAAACATGCCAAGAAATTTGGGAGTTTAGATGTATAATATCCACACTTGATAGGGGGGCTTGAGTCTATGTAACATGACTAGTGTATATAATATCACTTCAGATTTGGTGATATTTTAATTAATTTTACTGTGTGCTTCTTGGCTTATCAGGTATGGTCTGCTCCAAATTATTGTTATCGCTGTGGTAATGTAGCTTCAATATTGAGCTTCAATGAGAATATGGTACTGCCACTAAACTTTTCACTCTTTTAACTTGGTTGTGGCTTTTTGGCTCATTTATATAGATTTGATTAATCGAATTTTCTATGGGTGCAGTGTTTTACCCCTTTGTCTGTTAGGAGAGAGAGGTGAAGTTCTTCACTGAAACAGAGGAAAACAACCAGATGAGAGGCCCCAGAACTGGAGTGCCTTATTTCTTATGAGTGAGGATTTGTTTGCTTCATTACCCTGTGCTATTGTTTGAAGTTTGATGCACTGTTGTTTTCATTGTGGGTGGGAGAGAAAGAAGATATGGACAGATGTACATGAATATTCTTGCAACATGGAATACATTCAAGCTTTTGTTCCTAACCTGCTCTGCTTTTAAATAGCTTGTTTGTGTTGTAAACGCCTACTTTTCCTTTTTTGTTGCTTCTGTTTTAGTTTATTATACATTTTTTAAAAATCTTTTATCTAGTTTGTGAGTTTATTTGGAATCCGATAAGCTTACAGTTAGTAGCTGGCCAGTGCTAGATCAGATGATTTGGAAATTTGAGAGATTAAATCTATATTCCTCATTGAGTTAAGACATTTTATTTCCGATTGACTATTGAGTGAGTTCATTCTCTTGTCTCTACTTGTAGCATCCATTCTAGGGGAAGCTACATGGATCTCAAACGCCACACCAGAAGGATAAATAGGTAAGTTTCTTCAAAGGGCTATCAATCCACCAGCAGCAGGCTAGTAAAAATTTAAGGTTGTGTTTGGATGTGCAGAATCATTTTATTGTTTGGTGGTTATTGTTTGGTGCTAAATAGGTAAGTTTCGTAGTATGCCTCCTCACAGTTACAAGGCCTTTATCTTGAAACATGTATTTAAGACCTTCCTGCACAAGTTGATGGCTCCTTGTTTGTGTAAACTCATCAGGATTGGTTGGGCAGGGCTACTAATTGGGTTAAATTCAATGCAACAGCAGGGCAGATCGCTGATGGCCCCTTGCTTGCAGAGGCCACCTGCAACAGGGCAGATCGCTGATGGCCCCTTACTTGCCACAGAGTGGGGCTGGTGGTGGTGGCAATCCATACTCTGAAGGCGATGCTCTCTATGCCCTAGGGTTGATTCATGCAAACCATGGGGAGGATATCAAACAATTTCTTCGTGATAGCCTATGCAGTACCAACGTAGAGGTGCTTGCTCTCTATAATCTATTGTTTAGTTACTTTTGTGCACCATGAATTTCTGTTATAATAGTGGTGCTGGAAACTTTGATTGGTGTAGGTTATTCAGCATGGTGCATGCTTGGGTCTGGGCTTGGCAGCTCTTGGAACTGCTGATGAAGATATCTATGACGACGTAAAACTATGCTTTGTACTGACAGTGCTGTTTGTGGTTTCTTGTTTGAACCTTGTACTTACCTTCTGTAAATTATCTTAAAGTAGCATGATAGTTATTTATTTAATATTTTTCTCAATTAACCACAAGATGAGTATTATCTCATCAACTTTGCTATTGTTTCAGCTCAGAAGTAGTTAATTTTGTTAGGAATCAGCTTCGGCAACACGGAGATGTTCAGGTAAAAAATTTGCCTCAATTCTGGTATACCAGTGTTATGGTTTGCAAAGTTTTAACTTCTTTTGTTCTGATTTTTGTTAGCTTGTGAGGCACTTGGAAGAGCAGCTCTGGTAATGGATGCGTGAATGTTTATTTTTCTTGCACAATGCTTGATCATACCTGCAAATTTATCTATATTACAGGACCGACGTTCACAAGATAATGTCAGCATCATCATTGTTGATTTGGGGTATGCACTTGTATGCATTAAGTTAATTTAATCTAATGTTTTCCATTCTAATCTAATGTGTCAATCTATTATACTGATATTAGCCTCTCTAATTTGGTCCTGGCTGTGACTTTTTGCAGGAGGACAGATTGGCAAAGTTTGCCTCGTTCAGAAAGAAATTTTTGTTTATGAACTGGGCCAACTTTTGCTACTATCGGTATTGTGTCATTAGGAGTATGGATGTCTTCTCTACTTTCTGCATGAGTTCTCAAGCCTGACTTTGTAAATAAATCCTCACGGATTTCTAATATATTTTTTGTCTAGATATATTCTGTAATTGTACATGTATCACATCTTATTGCATTGTTTTTTATTTTTAATTTTTTTTTCAAACTTAGTTTATTTATTATTTTAATAAACATCAATTATTAGTTCTTAATAATTGTTTATGACTGGTATTTTTTTCAACCATATAAAATTAGCACAACTTTAAAAATAAAAAAAAAATAAAATAAAGGCTATGGCGGCGTTTTTTGAACATCACTATATCCCTATCCCAACGGTTAGATTTTTAAAATGTATAAATATCTTTAACGGCGTTTCCAAAACGTCGCTAAATGTCATAATGACGTCACAGTACAATTAGGGTAGGACATTTGGCGGCGTTCTATACTAATATAACGACATTTTTCAAACGCCATAAAGCTATAGCGACGGGTGTGTCCTCAGCGTTTGCTACTAAACGTCACAAAAAGAATTAGCGACATTTTCAATACCTAAAGCGGCGTTTTTAAAACGTCACTAAAAGTCAATTTTCTAGCAGTGTGTTAAAGACACTACAACAAAATGCACCTTTGGTGACCAAAATTGGCAACTAAAAAAAATTTAGTCGCCAAAAGTTGTAGAAATGACGACTAAAAATTTTTTTAGTCGGCAAAAATAAAATATTTAGCTACTAATTTTTTTTAGTCGGGGTATATTGTTTATTGGCGACTAAAACAAAATTTAGTGGCCAAAAATGCCAGAATTGGCGACAAAAAAAAATTAGTCGCCGTAGGTAGAGATTTGGCTACTAAAACGCTTTAGTCGCCGATTGAAAAATAAAAAATTATTTTTTACCTTTTAGTTGCCAAAAGTTTATTTTCAGCGACGAAAAATAATTTTAGTTGTCGTAGGTAGAGATTTCGCTACTAAAACGCTTTAGTCGCCAATTGGAAAATAAAAAATTATTTTTTACCTTTGGCGACCAAAATTTTAGTAGCCAAAAGTTTATGTTCAGCAACGAAAAATAATTTTAGTCGCCAAAGAACTAAAATTATTAGAGGGAGATATTTTAAATAGTTTGAAGGGATTTATGAAATACTTTCAGCGACTAAAAACTTTTAGTCGCCAATGGTGTAATATATATATTTTGGTTTCCAAACCACAAACCAGCGCCTCTTCTCTCTTTCTTCAGCGGTTCTCCCTCTGCCTCTCCCTCTCACCACCGACTGTCACTACCACTGTCGCTAGCCACCGTCCATCCCCACCGTCGCACGTCGCTACCATCATCGCCGAAATCACTACCAACACTGCCGCAAATCACAGGTTTGTCACTGTCGCATTCGGTCCTCTCCCTCGCTGTCGACCTGGGTCTCTCTCTCTGTGTCGAGCCATTCCCTCTCTCTCTCTCTCTCTCTCTCTTTCTCCCTTCCCATATTTCCCCATTTCTCACACATCATCTAGGGTTTATATGATTTTTTAGTTTAATTTTGTGTTGATTTCGATAATGGGTTTGGTTGACGTGTTTGATTTCTATGAAATTATGATATTCTTCATCTCAAAAATGGGTTTGATTTTTGTTTTATGGGTTTGATTTTCGAAATTATAATTTCTATGAAATTATAATATTGCCCAATGAAATGAAGTGCCATCACTTTCAGAAAGATAAATTTGATTTTTTTTTGTTCTAGTTAGTTGAATCATCATTCCTACTCATCAATATCTTTGTCCATATCAATTTGTGTGTATGTGGTGAAGGGAGGCAGTTTTACACCTTATAGTTTTCAATTTTTTAGGTTTGCCAATGTTCATGTCTTGGTGCTTGTTAGTATAGAAAAACTTTGTACACCATGTGTTTGATGATATGCCCATAAGAAAACTTATTATGTTTTAAGTGGTGGTGTGTTTTTATCTTTCTCCTCCTGGCCTCTTATTCCTTTTGTCAGTTTGAACAAGTTGGTTGGATTTTGTTGTAGTTGAGGCCAAAAGGTATGGAATCAAACCTTGTGTTGAGTTTAGTGAGCAACTATGATAGCTTTGGAGCATGGAAACAGTATGTGAAGTGAACTAGAAATAAAGGGCAATACTTAACTCCTGTTGTTAAAGGATATTACAACCATGTTAAGGTAATTAATAAAAAAAAGTCAAATCCTCTATTTTTACTCTATTCCATGTGATTGTAAGAGAAGAGGCAAAGTTCATCTCTAATTTAAATAAGTATACCATGTACAGGTTTAATTTTTGTTGTAGTAAGGTGTTTCAAAACTTGAAGTGAGGTAGAATCTTTGTTGGGTGCTTGTCCCAATGTTTAAATTTTGGGTACAATTTTGAGTAGTTTTTCTTGAGTATGTAGAACAATTGGCCATGCCTTTGAGGTGTATGATATTTGGCTTGAGACAACTTTGCTTTAATTCTTTGCCTATGAAAATCATGCTGACTCTATAGTTCTTGCAAATTTCATGCAGGGTCTATGAATAATAAAGAAAAAAAAAAGAAGGAACAAGGCAAGGTAAGCTAGATTTCATAAAGTTGTCATGGTTTTCTCTTCAAATTCCTATTTAAAGAGTTAAAGCTTCCACAACATGTCTAATTTTTTTTCTGCCTTTGTTGCTTATCTTATACTGTTAAAATTTGTTGTCAATTAGTGCTTTGAATGTCTCGATATTTTACACATAATTAAATCAATTGTTGTATACTTTCGGACAGTCGGAGACCCTTTGCCTCTTAGGATGGCTAATTTGATTTTTTTTTTTAATTAACAATATATAAGCAATAAATATGGTAACTAAAGCACAAGATATGTATGGGAGATTCACTAATCAATGTGAGACCATTTAATATTGTGTTTAATTGATAAATGTAATTAAACCTTAAACCTTAAATAAATAAATAAATAAAAGAAAAAAAAAGAGAGTTTTTCCATTAATCATTCTCAAATAAGAGTTTGTCAAATTAAAGTCTCAATCTCAGACTCAATCCAAGTAAAAATCCAATGATGTATATGTAGAGACAACAAAAGTTACATATTTTTATTCCTTTATCTATCAATAGTTGCCCACTTATCATACACTCCATTCACGTTTGCATATGTAATGATTTGATTCCCAATTATTAACAAAGCTCCAATTATTAACAAAGTTACACTCCACTCATTGTGATCTTTAACAGCATCTTGAAGTCCTAATATTTGTTGCCAAACAAATCATTGCCACAATCATGTCCATTTTCATCAATTAGCCATCAATCACCAC